TTGAAGTCCACTCATCTTAAAGTTGCCAAGGTTGAGAAACACTGTTCTAAGTCATTAAGGTAGACAAGTATACATTTATAAGAAGTACTAATGTGGCTCTGCAGCTCAGTCCTTAGTCTTCTGAAGGAAGGGCAGGGCCTGGGGGGAGTCACCTTACCCCCCCCCATGCCACCAAATTTCAGGGGGATATCAGTGTGGTGGGACATGCAGGTGGGATGCTAAGGTGCCCCTTGTGCCCACCTCTAATGTAAGGTCTCCAGAGCTGCTGCTTGCCCTCAACATCTCACCTACTGCAGAGGTGAGCCATGTGCTGTACTTCTGTACCAATAAAATGGGAATCGGATTAAGATTCACACATTTACAAGGTTAAAATACTCGCTTGTCTAATGCCCCACGTGCATTAGAAAAGGAAGAGGCTGATGCAGCATCAAAAGAGGATCTAAAATACCAATATACATCCTTCAATGTCTTGTGACTTCTCCTTCCAACCAGTGAACACCACATTTCTACATAAAACTGTCCTTCTAAGGTTCGCTAAAGCAGGCCTGGATGACAAGTTGCTGGCTGGGGAATTCTGGGAGTTGAAGTCCACACATCTTAAGGTTCCCCACATGCTTAGTAAGACATTTAAAGTTTCCCTTGGAGATTATTCCTGTTATTTGAAGGGCCTTCCCATTCTTCTGGACTTGAGCGATAATGACTTTCCTTTCCTTTCTCAGAAACCTAACATGAATGGCATCGTGAAGCCACCTTTCCTAAGGTAAGCTGAGACCATTCAATACAATTGAGAACGTGCTACGGACTCAAAAAAGATAGCCCTGGTCTTTCTTTCCATGCGGTCTTGGGGAACTGTTCGGGTTGTCTCAGTCTCATTTCTGGAAGTGGGTTGAAATCCTCAGTTGTCATTTCACTCCTGGAAAAGCAAAGAATACAGGCCAGGCAGCCGAACCTCAGTCCCACAGCTCAGGGCAAGGCCAAACATTAGTATCCTGATGACACAATGACCGCCCTCAAGAGGGTCGTTTGGTTTGGCTTAGCACAGCACGGGGCCTAGATAATACAGGGAGTCCCCGGGTTAAGAACACCTGGTTTACGGATGACCCGTAGTTAAGAACAGAGCCTATTGTAGCAAAGTTCGAGCTAAATACACAATGATTTGAGTTGAATCCACAATGGTCCAAGTTCATTACACAATACTACTTATACAGTATTATGGAATAATAGCGTTCCGGCTTACTACAAATTCGACTTAAGGACAGACCTTGGGAATGGAACTCGTTCTTAAATAGGGGATTACCTGTATCTGGAGCGGCATAATCCAGTGGTGGCTTGGATTAGGCCCCGTGTTCCCCCAACTTAGCCATTGTTCCATGGAACTCTGGAGCTCAGGGAGCGTCGAGACAACCTGTTGCCTCAAGGCTAGAAACGGGCTCAGACCCGGATCGTGCGGATCCGATCCAGTCATTCTCTCCCAACGGAACCACCTCACGGGACTGTTGTAAAGAAGGGGAAGAACCAGGCCCGTTACCCTGCTGTCTCTCCAGGCAAAGCATGGGGCCTAAGGGTCATAAAAGCAACGCTGCCCAGCCGATGCTTTGCTTTTCCATGACTTAAAAACAGAATACGGAGTTTTTAAAAAGCAGATATAAATGGGTGAAAGCGATTAAACATCCCCCCGGCCATTGCATCTCTCTCCAAACTACCCTCTCCGCACCAGCTGATGCAGTCTTAATTATTTAACTGACCATGACTTAATTTAGGCACCGTTCTGTTGCTTTCCCAGCAGACTTCCCAAATCAATTTAGATGGTTGTTATAACCACAGCCTGTCATGTTGTCTCCCTCTCAGGCCCCCCCATCGCCCTCACCCCAAAACAGCTGCTTAAAAAACTGGGGGGCAATAAGGGTTGGCATAGCAGGAGCCCCTTCCCTTCGTAAAAATAGCACGGCTTATTAGGACCGACCTTGTATTTGTGTGCCTCTGCTTTATTACAGTGGAGAAAATCCATTTGCAACCGTGAAACTCCGACCGACGGTCACAAACGACAGATCAGCACCAATACTTCGATGAGCAGCATTGACCCCCCCTTTTTTTTAATCCTACCTTGTTAACATTGCACAGCCTCCCCCAGCCTGCTGTCCTCCAGATGTTGCGTCGGGACAGTTCGGAGCTCGGCAACTAGAGGGCCCCTGGTTGGAGACGGCGACACGGTCTTCAGCAATATGGTTTTCAAATACTGTCTGACGTTGTTTTTAACCTTTATTTAAATGTAATTAATGTGTACAGTAGCAGAAAGTTGCAAAAGTTTCTGACTTTTTTTAAAAGAGCTTTTTTGCCTCTTGCTTCTGCTAATTATTAATGGCTTAAGATGCCTCCAGATTTGATTTTAGTGTGCCTTGTTTAGGAAGACAGAAATAGGAGAATAGGGAAGCCAGCAGAACTGATCCTTTAGTCCTCTATTACCAGCATAACTGTTTATTCTTCTGTGCCAATGGTGTGGTTAATCCCATGGATAAGTTCCGTTTAGTTTTGCTTGTACAACTTACTTAGAGAGATGGGTATGAGTAACTGCTTTTTAAATAAGCGAGCTGTTTAAGGATGACCTAGCGTACAATAGAATATTATGCCAATTAATATTTTCACTATATAAGCTAAGATAAAATGTCCTAGGGGTACAATAATAATAAATACTCTGATCAGAAAACAGGACACTCTTTAATTGGTCTGCAATACATGAAAGCACAATCTATTACTTGGTCTTCCTTTGGATAGGATGCTACTTAACGGGATTGTCTAATTCCAGCCCTTTCCATCCTGAATCATTACAGACAGAAAACCTTAAAAGGACTTGCTACATTGACCTTTTCTTTAAGGTTGCATACCCCTCAGATGTTGCCTTTAAAGTTTAATTGATAGATAATAAACAAGGGGTTATTACTGCGTAAAGAATTACCTATACATTTCACAAAGTTAAAAAAGAGCAAACTGGTAAGTCCTCATTTAGTGACTGTTCGCAGTTGCGACGGTGATGAAAAAGTAACTTTACGACCAGTCCTCGCATTGACCACCTTTGCAGGTCTGTAAAGCAAAGGAAAGCTGAAGTCAGATTGTAAGCACCATTGCAGTTTCACACCGTTTCACTTAACCACCAAGTTGCAGGTCCCAATTGTGGTCGCTGAACAAGGACTTACAAGATCTTTGCATTTACACCTTTTTTTCTCTGTAGGTTATTGCATAGGCAGTCTCTATATCCAAATATGCCTCTTCTGCAATGGCTCCAGGTACTCTTACAAGAAAAAAATGTACTGGTGTCATACTGGTGTGACATCTGAGGAGTTAAAAATGACCACCTTGCTGGGTACTTCAAAATGGGGTGAAGAACATGCCCTGGGTGTGTCTGGTCTAAATGGACAGGGCAGAAGAGAGCCAGACCTCTATTATTTTGGAATGATGATATATTAAATGTATATGCTGCCCAACTCCCAGCAAATCTGGGGGGGGTTGCAATTTGTTAAGATTGTTTTTAAAGAGGAGTATGTTATAATATCTCCAGGTGAGATCATTCTAGGTCTAGAGCTTGTAGAAGGCTTCCACGTTCTAGATCCAAAGCATCTTCCTCCCAAGGTGTTGACAGTTCCCATGGTCTCTGCTGGGTGGGAACTGCCAACTGCCATGCCCAACCGAAGGGGAGCAAGGTCCAGAGACTCAATCGTTTCTCCCCAGTTGATTTATGGGGAGTGAAGGCTGGAAAACAGCTGGCCTGTCCTCTACAGCCTTCTTGCAAACGTTCCAGCCAAGTCACATGCCAAAACGAGATAAGGAAGCCTACAGGCTCAGTTTCCCAGCTGTTGCTCCCAGCTCAAGCTGCTGTTTCGTCTTCAACAGCAACTGAGTCATTTTCAGTCATGGCGCATCCCTTCTCTCAGTGGGCTCAGAAAAAAATAGTAGCAAAATATTGATTACTTTTAGCATCTGCCCTGCGGGAGCTGAACACAGGGTTGACGGTGGTACATAATCAGCCCAGAAGCATTCTGAGAACTCGCAGCGAGGCCTTTTCCAGCATCCTAGCCCTGCCCAGGAGATGAACTGCACACTCGAGTCCAGCTTCCAGCCCCAAATAGGAACTACCCTGAACTCAGCGATTGCTGAGATTTTTGAGTGGAGGGGCTGAGGGGAGACCCATCACCCCCAAAAGCCTTAGTAGTCAAAAAAAACTAGTCCAGAGCAAGGCAGTTGCTTTTGATATCTCCCCCGTTAAATAGAAAGCGTGGCTGGCTGGGGAATTCTGGGAGTTGAAGTCCACCCATCTTCAAGTGGCCAAGGTGGAGAAACACTGGTGTAGAGAGATACCTCTGATAGTCAAGTACCACCTTATGGTTTATGCTCATTCTAGTCTGCAGTGAGCAACCCTTTGCGGAGTTAAGACTAGGCTGACTACAGCTGGAAACTCAAGAGCTGTAGCCCCAAGGATAGAGCATCACGTTTAGAAAGGCTGCTTCCTACACGGACGCTCCTCCCAAGTGACGAGCTGAAGAAAGCACAGCGGGCGAGATTGTAATCCAAGGGGTTGTAAGCAACCAACAGAAGCCACAACGTCCTCACGCCGTCCTTGTGGAAATGGCGTAACCGGCCTCCTTCAGGTCATCTGCCCGTCACGCTGCACTTTAGCCACACACGCAGAGACACAAACGGGTGTCGAGCAGGTAATTCTTCTAGAATCCCTGCAAACAATTCTGTGGGGCTCCATAAAACCGTCATGTTCACCCTGCATTTTCCAGAGCGGCTTGGAGCCGCTGGAAACAGCATTGGAACTGTAGCCTGGTTTGAGAACAACTGTTGAAACTTAGTCTATCAATTGTCAAAAGAAGCATCAGCATTTGGGTAGTTGGTGATTTGGTGCGTGGTTCCAATCAGTTCTTGTTTTTTGATGTGCACTCTATGGATTTGAGCCGGCATGGAGAATCTACATTTTCCTTCTGAATAACATTAACACTACCGTAGAAGAGATTTTTCTCTTAATTTTGGGGGTGGGGGTGGAAAAGGCTGGCTCCCCTTGCGAAGTTGCAAAAAGCACTTTTATTTAAATTTCCCCCCCAAAAAGGTGCATTTAAAACACAAAACCCAAACGGGGTTTGTGTTTCCTAACAGATTTGCCCAGGTATCAGTTTTACATGCGAAAGAGAGAGACGCGCGGTTTCTTCTTTACAAAATCAGCTCCGATGCATAAATGTGATTGTACATGACATTTACATTAGAAAAAAGGGACAGCTCCTAAAAGCCTCTGGGGGTTGATCCCTTAACCAAACGTCGCCCCGCAGTTAGGACACGTTCGTTGTCTCAAGGCGAGGCAGAAGAGGATTCCGATGGGGAAGAAGAGGATGGCGCAAAGAACGCCGAGGCAGGTGAAGGTGTCTTCCAACACGCCAACTCTGTAAGAGGAAATTGCACAAAAGAGAAGGAAGAAGTTACTGCAATGTGGTCAACCCCAGCAGCGAAACAAGCACCGAGTTTAGAGTTGCGCACGCTTCCCGCCCGAGTGCCACAATACGCGTGTACACACTTGGCGTTTCATTCTGCAGGCCCCGCGGCTAACTTCCCCGCCATTTTTAGCAGGGAAGACGTACATTCCTGCTCCCAAATAGAGTCGGGGATCCCCGCTCTGTTCCTAGGCTTCTCTTTTGAAATAGCTCTATTTTAAAATAAAGAGATTCAAAACTAACCAGGAGCAATAATGAAGAGAGAAAGTAGGAGAGAGCAAAAGGCAAAGGATGAAAAAGAAAACAAGGTCAAAAGTGCAGAAAGAAGAAGAAATCCAAAAGAAAAATGACTTCCGACTTCCTTTTGCAACAGATAACACGTATAAATTTTACTTTAAGTTCTTACTGTTTACCCCATAACTTTCATTTTTTCTACTGCCTACGATTATTTCTAATCATCCGATCCATAGAGTGTGATTCCATTTCTTTCTGTTGCACGCCAAAAGGGGTTTCCAATCGTCCCTATGCCTTTTCTGAACTCCCCTGCAGATCAGCCCTCTTGCATTTTCTCGATGACGATCACGTCTTCGGTGCGCTAAGGGGAAGGCAGGGAGCCAGGAAGAGGACCATAAAACTTTCCATTTAGAGAAAGGCTAATCTTAGCAATACAGTAAGAGTTGGCCTGGGGAAACCTGAGCAACTTTCCCGTGGTTTACAGTTGTCACTCCCAGGCTGTCTAAAAATAGAGAATGAATGTTTATATTCGTGCATAAAGCCGGGCTGCTCTGTGAGAGCCACAGACATTTAGAATTGGCAAGAAAACCCCTTTGACGTTAACTATTAATCATGCACTGAGGACAGCTTATTTAATGGACTTTGTTTTTACTCAGCGTTTTTACTAACAAGCACAGAATGGAAAGAACGGAGCATACAAGGAAATGCACTTCTCTGCTGAAAAGCTCAGCGGGGCGTTTTGTCTCAGCTGGGAAGGTAAGCAAGATCAGGCCCGGTTAGCTCTTGGATGGGAGAACACAGGGGAATCACAGGGCTGGTGGCCAGACCGGGAAGTGACAAACATCCTGGAACGCAACATGCTTGCACCCATGTAAACATTAGAACTCAAGCCCAGTGCAAAGGGACTTTGTTTTTATCGCCGAAAACCCAGAAACCAGAGCATTTGTCATCCTAGATCAGTGTTTCACAACCTTGGCGGCTTTAAGCTGCGTGGACTTCAACTCCCAGAATTCCCCAGCCAGCATGGC